TTTGAAAATTTCTTCTTGATGGTTTATGCAACTCTTCAACAACAGCTCTCTTACTCATATTTATTATTATTAATTAAAAAAAATCAAGGTGCTCAATTAAATCAACCTTATCTTTACTCATCTTAACCATAAATAATTAAAACAATTTTTTTTATTTTAAATTCTTATTTTATTTTTTTTTTAAATTCTTTCATACAATTGCATTAGCTTTACAATTCTAAGCATAATTTTTTCAGCTGAATAGCACGGACAAGTTTCAGGTAAAGAATCGGAGTTCTGCGAAGAATATGGACATATTGAATAATGGAATCCATGATCCTCTGTATCTATCTGAGTACAGTTTTTGAATTGCAGTAAAAATTTAAAATGATCTTTCAATTCATTATAATGCTCCTCCAATAAAATATCTTCGTATTTATTTAAAAAAATATTTAATTTATATCCTATTTGCGGTATATCCATTTTGAAGCCACCGCTGTTCAATGTATACTGATTTATTTTACTTTTTTTCCCTTATAATTTCATTGATTTTTCTAGTAAAATATGTTTCCACGTTTCTTAAGTCGTCTCGTGTTAAATTTAAATTATGAATAATATCTTTTATTTTAGTATTATATTCTTGATTTATTTTATTTTCAAATTTTTTATTTTCTGACTCAGCCACTCCATAAGCTCTTCCTATTTCATTCCTTAGCAGTCGTAATACATCTTCTCTCTGGATATAAATCACTTTATTGAGGGCTTCATTTAAAGTTCTTATCCCATCATCTACATATTTTTTTGTAGCAGTATCATTGTTATTTATTGGGGATTTTAGGTTTATTAATTGTTTATTTTGAATATCATAATCTCCATCTGAATTTACTTGTAACCCAATTGTTTGAAATTTTTTTTTAGCTTCGTTAAAAGCATATGGATGATTTCGGCTATGTCCGAACTTATCTATTGTCATTATGTTAGTGATAACGTAATTCAAATATTATTCGATTATATTAGCTTCCTTTAGTTCTTCTATTATGGAATTAATTTCATTATTGTGATTGTTATTACCTGCTATTTGCGAAGAAATCAAAAGTCTCAATCTATTAACCAGCTCATTAGGATCATCCCAATAGGTATATTGAACCGGCTGCTTTGAATACGTCATAGATGACGTCTGAGGTTTTATAGTAAATTTTCCTTTTGTTAAAGATTCTCCTATTTTTTTCCCTCTTGTATTATATTCATGAATGTAGAGCTTTTTAATAATATTTTGACATTTAAATCCCTTATTACCCTTAATTTGATCTAATGAATTATAATTTCTCCGATGAGCGTTGGTTTTTTCCAATATTTTTTGATATTGTATAATTTTCAGGTTTCAGTTTAAATATTAGATCATATAAGCCTTCAGTGCCCTTAAAGATCTGCCCATCAATTATTATGTGATTGTTTTCATCATCTATGCTAAATGTTGCGTTACCTAATTTCCTAATTCCTAAATTATGATCAAAATAAGGGCTAAGCTGTGATTTCTTATAATTATGTAGAGGTGACAATGATGATGATTCTAACTTATTACTTGTTGAATTTGTAAATGTGATTGTGTTAGGAGTTGATGTTAAAAAACTTTCAAATTCGGATTTCTCCTTCTTTGGTGTTTCTATTTTATTTTCGACGAATGATGTCATATTAAATTTATCAGTACTGTATTCTTGCGGTTTCACTTCCGGTTTTACTTCCGGTTTAATAAATGTGGAGGGAGATTGGTATTCAGTTGTTGATCTGATCTGTTGCGGTTGTTGATCTGATCTGTTGCGGTTGTTGATCTGATCTGTTGCTGATATGATATACTGATATGATTAGTTTATAGTTTATTCTTATAACTCACAGATAAATTCTATAAAGTATATATATATATATATGCATATATTATATCTATAACTTGATAAATTCATCAAATTTTCTCCTATAGCGACCAGCATTCAAAACACTATCCTTATCGATAACTAAAAATCCATAGTTGTCTTTCCAGCAGCATGAGCATAATTTTTTAAATTGATCAAAAGACATATTGGTATTAACATGATCATTATAGATATGCTTTAAATTTAAATCATCTTGTTTGAATGCAATTATAAAATTTGCGTTATCCCTTATTAAATGCTTAGGTATCCGAGTATAAGATTGACATAAATAAAAACTATCTACATCTTGATGACGCCCCATGCAAAAATAATTCCTTATAGTATCTTGCTTATCGCAAGCAACATCATCAAATATAAATATCGAATTAGGTTGAGATTCAGCAGGATCAATTACATCTGAGTTATTTGAAAATTCGTTATATCCCATTCCCTTAATAGGATTCATTATCTTTTTCAAGTATTCATATTTTGGTTGATGTAGCGATTTAGAATATATGTATATATTTTGAAATTTAAGTCCATTTGGATCTAATAACATACTCAGCATTACGTTAGTTTTACCGCAATTAGACGGGCCCACAATTAAACCCCTGATACTAACTGGAAACATTGTTCCATGTTTCCTTTTCTTTTTGCTGCTCGATTTTTTATCAAAATTTTTTACTTTTATTGTATCATGCACTTTGATAAACTTCATAACTACTACTGGTTTAACTTAATATAAAATTATTTAATTTATGCTTTTGCAATCATTTGCAATTGATTAACCTTCGAAGAAGGAATAAATTTAAATAAAATTCAATAATCGAATGACGCTCAGTAATAAACATATTGTTGAGAGGAGAGGAGGATTTTTGAATTCTTTGATAAATAAGTTACCATTTGAAGCACATTTACCTGGATACGACTATTGCGGTCCCGGAACGAAATTAAAAAAGCGGTTAGATCGTGGCGATAAAGGTATTAATCAATTAGACGAAGCCTGTAAAGAGCATGATATTGCATATTCTCGAAGTAACACTATTGCTGATCGTCATATTGCTGATAATATATTAGCAGAAAAAGCCTGGCAGAGAGTTAAGTCAAAAGATTCAAGATTTGGTGAACGAACTAACGCCTGGTTGGTAACAAGCGCAATGAAGGCAAAAGTTAAAACTGGAATGGGTTGTAGAAATGGGGTAAAAAAGAAGAACAAACAACCTTTAAGAAAATTAATCCATGAAGCTAAAATTGCTATTAAAGGTTATAAACCTGAAAGAGAAAAAGATGCAATAAAAATTGCGCTTAAAGCAGCTAAAAATATTCGTAAAAATAGGAAATCGGTAAAAATTCCACGTATAATTCCAGTTCCAAAAACTGGTGGTATTCTTCCATTAATTCCGATATTTGCGGGTCTTTCAGCTGTTGGAGCTCTTACAGGAGGTGCTGCTGGTATAGCTAAAGCTGTCAACGATGCTAAAAACGCAAAGAAGATGTTAAACGAAAGTGAGCGTCACAATAAGATTATGAAGGCTATTGCTATTAGGGGAAAAGGTTTACAATTAAAACCATATAAAAAAGGGTTTGGATTATATTTAACTCCAAAAAACCACTAAATTTGCTACCCAAAAGAGCACTGACAAATATTGATATAAACGATTTTGGTCGAAAGTATTTACAAAATTTCCGTGGTGTTTTTATGAGAGATAATCTCCCTAAAACTAAGCCATGGAAACGTGAATGTGGTATTATAAATTTAGATAATTCCATAGGTCAAGGCACACATTGGGTAGCATATCATAAGAATTCAAATAATATTCAATATTTTTATAGTTTTGGAAATTTACAACCACCAATTGAAGTTGTGAAATATTTAGGCGATAAAATTTCATATAATTATAAGAAGTATCAAAAATTTAATACATACAATTGTGGTCATTTATGTTTACGTTTTTTATCTAATAAAAAATTTTAAGAATAAAATTAATTTGTTGTTGTTATTATTTTTGTATTCATTGCTATAAAATTACAAGTTCAAGAAAAAAACATGATAAAAAATGAAAAGCAAAAGTAGGTCAAGCTTTTTTCATATGCTGAGATTTATAATGACCACAAAATTGAGATAGCAGGTTCAAGGCTATTTTTTCGCTTTAATTTTTAGAATTTTATATGAATATTAAACAATCTGTTGAATTAATTAAGTTATAAAATTAATTGATCAGAACGGTAATTTAATTAATTTTCAAGGTGAAACTATAACAGCAAGATTACATTTGAAAAAACAAGAGAATACATAAACATGATTCTTTATGATAGTAACAACTATATATATGCAGTAAACCAGGTTAATCCATTCAATAATCAATCTAACTTAACAGTGAGAGGTTCGAGGAGAGCAGGTAAACCAACTTTAACAATTGAAAATCAGGAATTTTTAAAATCTATAGGATTAAAGCTGAAAATATATTAAAATGAAGAATTTATTCAATAATCCTGTTATTGATGGGAGCAAAACAAGTGAGCACTGGCACACATATTCACCATTTTTGAATTCATTCAATAAAAGCGATATTATACGCATACAAATACAAAATCAAAATTAAACATTCTACCTTCTGAAAGTTTACTCTATATTGAAGGTACTATTACAAAAGCTGATGGCAGTGAAACAGCTAAAACAAAGCTTATAAATAATGCTATTGCATTTTTATTCGATGAGATACGGTATGAGTTAAATGGGAAAGAAATTGATAACAATAGAAATGTGGGTATAACATCATGCTTAAAAAATTATGTTTCATTGAACAAAAATGAGAGTCAAGCACTTATTAATGGTAGCTGGTCACCTGAACAATCAATTCAACCACAGACTTTATTTTTCAATTATTGCATTCCGTTAAGAAGGCTTTTAGGATTTGCGGAGGATTACAAAAATATTGTACCTAATGCTAAACATGACCTAATTTTAACATACTTAATTCCTTACTTTGCTCTGATGCTAATGAGAAGCCGAAAATTCAACTAACCAAAGTGCAATGGAGAGTACAGCATATCAATTTAGCTGATGCATTGAAATTGGACTTGTATAGCAATATTACAAATAACGCAAAAATAATGTTGGCTTTCAGAAATTGGGAATTGTATGAATATCCATCGTTACCAGAAAATACTAATCATCATATTTGGAATGTAAAAACAACAACTCAATTAGAAAAACCGCTTTACATTATTTTTGCTCTACAAACAGATAAACTTGACCAAATAACGAAGGACCCATCGAAATTTGATCATTGTAATATAACTGATCTAAAAGTTTACCTTAATTCAGAATCCTATCCGTATGAAGACATGAATTTATCATTTGAAAGAAATCGTTATGGTATTGCTTATGATGAGTACACAAGGTTTCGAAGTAGTTATTACAATTATCCTATATCTGAACCTCTATTAATATTAAATGAATTCAAAGAAAAAGCTATGATTTTGATAATAGATACTCGTTATCAAAATGAAAATCTAAAAATGGGGCCGGTTGATGTTCGAATTGAAATGAAAAGTTCAGCTGCAATACCCGATAAAACAACAGCTTACTGTCTTATACTACACGATAGATTAGTAGAATTCACGCCTTTGACTGGTGAAGTTAATAAAATCGTTTAATGAAAGAAAAAAAATAAATGAATAATTGGACTTTGAATCAAACAAGCATAAGATCATCAAATTCAGCTTCAATTATAATTATTGTTATATAAACTTTCACAATCAATCTGGTGATTAACTTAAAATAAAAAAAAATAAAAAAATGGATTACGTCATCATCGATATACAGGGTTTTAGGGATAACAATAACAACTTCATATTAAAAGAAATTGCTATCCTTTCATCAAATGATGAAATACAACATTTTATTATAAAACCTCCATATGGTTATCATATACTTACATCTAAAACTAAGAATATAAATAATTGGTTAACAAAAAAACATCATGGATTTCGATGGTCGGATGGTCAAACACATTTTTGTGATATCATCAATTTTTTAAAGATTTATATAAATAATAATAATACAATCATATATGTGAAGGGTGAAGAAAAGAAGAATTGGATTAATAAAATTTTAAAGCATAGTAATACATATGATTTGGGGTCCAAACATGATTCAACAAGTTTAAAAAAATTGAAAAATCAGCATACTTATTATTCAAAAAAATGTTCTTATAAGCATATTGGTATTTGCGCTCTTGAAAATGTCTACTTAATAAAACTGTTAATCTAAGCGATTTTATAGTATTTAAGAAATGAGAACGACAAAAATTTATTCATTCAGTCATTTTATTTACGATTTTTAACATCAAAAAAACAAAATCAATATGGATAAAATAAAAAATTATTTTTCGAAGAATAATAACAATTATGAAAATATAGGAAACACATCAACTGATTCCACAAAGAGGTGGAAAGAAGAAATTAAAAAAGCAGATCAATCAGCTAGCGGAACATTTAATAAAAATAAGATATGAATTGTATAAAGAAAAAATAAAATAAATAATTGTAGTTATAGTTTTTTAAAACAATAAAAAATTGTTTTCTTTACCCTCCCCTCATTTTTAGATTTTTTTTTTTTTTTCCTCCACTCATTTTTAGATTTTTAGAAAACAAAAACCTGTAAAGCATGCAGAAAAAAGAATCTTACAACGATTTCGCAATAACGCCAATAAATTTATTTTAAAAGAAATTGCGATTTTTTCATCAAACAATGAAATTATGCATTTTATTGTTAGACCTCCATATGGTGAGCAAATTTTGAATTTCAAAGCTAAACAAACAAACAACTGGCTCACAAAAAATCATCACGGTTTTAAATGGAGTGATGGTATTTCAAATTTTAGTGATGTCACCACATTTTTAAAAATTTTTATAAAAAACAGCACAAAAATTTATGTGAAGGGAGAAGAAAAAAAACAATGGATTAAAAATACTTTAGGACTTTGTGATGTAATTGATTTAAGCGATCAAGATTCGACAAGTTTAAAAACAATAAAAAAAAAAAATTTCCGAGTAGCAAATCGTTGTTTATTTAGTCATATAGGATGCTGTGCTATCGAAAATGTTTATATATTAAATATGCTGATCCCAGCTAATTAATTCTTATACGAAGACTAAAAATTCTACCAATCATCATATTCAATTTAGATTTTAACTTGAAAAGGTCTTACAATGGATAATAAGAAAAATGATAGCAAACCTAGTTTTAGCGGACAACTAAAAAGGGCTATTAACAACATGGTGTATGAAATTAGAAAACCTTCATCATCATCATCATCATCATCATCATCATCATCATCATCAGCATCATCAAATACAAAATATGATAGGAAAAATTAAAAAAAATTTTTTTTCTCTTGTAAAACAATTTCAAAATAAGTAAAAATCAAATGGAAAAAGATAAAATAAAGTTGGGTCAAACCAATGGTTTGTATTGTAGCACTTTTCCCTTCAACAAGTGAAAATTCTGCTTTTAAATACAGTCTATGTATACCTATCACACTATAAAAATTATTTTCATTCATATACAAAACTATTACTAGGATTGCATATATTTAGGATGACGCATACTCGTATATGCAGTCTTTGAAATAAAGCAAAAATTAACATAAAAAGGGGTTAACATAATGCTCGATTTTAAGGGTTAATTGTGTGAGTTAAGAAAAATAATTATATTTTTTACTGTCATGGAATTTACCGTTAGCTTTTTGAGTTTATAAAAATTTGGAAAAGCTTGCGGTTTCGGAAATATAGGGTGTCAAAAATTCAAATTTTACGATTTTCAAGAGGTGATAACTTGAGAGGGGGTGGAGATGGAAAAAAAATTTCTTCTAACGAAATGAACTACTTGTTAATGTCTAAAAGCCCCTAAAATTTCAAAGTTCTAGAATATAGGATCTAGAAGAAAAACGACATCAAAAATTTGGAAAAAAAGGACTTTAGATAACGGTAAATTTCAACGGCCATTTTGTTTTTCTAAAGTTTAACTATAGCATACTGCGCTAGGGGAAGCAAGCCGCTGCCTTTCTGCGTTTGCGAAATTTCAAAAATGCTTATGGTTTCATTGCAACAAATATTTAAAAAAGGCCACTTTTAGGGTTTTGGGGGGGTATAACTTCTAGAGGGGGGGAGATAGGTAAAAATTTTGTTCTACGAAAATAAGTTTCTAGTAAAGATCTATGTATATATTCAGCTTTCTATCTTCAAGGGTGTAGAAGTTTTGTAAACAGATACACGGACGGACGGACGGACGGATGGACGGACAGAGTGAAACTAATAAGCACTTTTTTCAAAAAATTTTTTGGAAAAGTGCTAAAAATGAAATAATCTGTAAAAGCAATCCGAAAATAAAAAAAAGAAAACAACAAAACAACATTTTATTTTTTTTTTTCTTTATTAATCTTTCAGAAATATTTAGCTTAAACTATAGTGACCCCAGGGTAAAGAGTCATAAGAATTTTTTAACAGAAATCTTTTATTGTCATTTGAATTTAAACCAAGTTTTTTCTGTCTTGTAGTACTAACATTATGATTTTTTGATAAAATTAAATTTTGTGTAATTATTTTGTTAATATTGTCATTCAAACAGTTTTTATAATCATCAAAATTTATATCTTTTTTTACAACTGATTTTTTTACACCTTTAATTTTTTTTATAGGTTCTTCGTTTTCAATTTTTAATGTGTACATTTTTGATCTTAAACCAATAAATTCTAAAATATTCTTACCACACATTTCATCTTTCATTAATCCTAATACTTTCTTATTTACTAAAGGAATTCTCCACTTATTATTTATTAGATAATCACTAGTATCAAACCTTTCATAGCAGTCATTTTTTATAATTTCATATATATCGGTAATAAAAATTTCTAGAATAAGACTGTCAGTATCAGTATACAAAAGATTACAATTTTGTTTCAATTTGTTTTTCATGTAATCATAAAAAAATTCATATATTGATATTTTCGCTATATCTAATATTGCCATACCCACATATATAGGTTTGTTAAAATAAATTTCACTTCTATATAATTCTATGGCAACTAAGTTTTCATTAAAAATAGCAGAGCTTTTAAAATAAGGTGACGCAATTAATGCGTTAACCCCATAACGACCATGCCAGTAAGTTTTAAGTTTTATGTTGCAGTGTTTTCTCACGTTTTCTATCGTTTTGCCAAATATTGCATTATTCATTAATTTAAAGAGTTCTTTTGAAAAATTGTCTTTCGATTGTGCCCGTAATTTAGTATTCAACTCTATATATGGTCGCAGAAAATCTGATTGAATAAATTTTAAAATTTTATGAATTTTTGTTACTTCAAGACCATTTTTTAAAGCTAATTTTAAACTTCTATAATGAAGAACATATCTATCTTTATTGTACAAGGTAGCAACTAATTTTTTTTCGTTTGAATCTGTTAATAAATGTTCTGGACAGAAAGGGAGATCTCTATGAATATCGTGAAGTTGTGTAGGATAATTTAAATCCACCTCAAAGATATAACCAATATCATTTTTATCAGAAATGTTTAACATAAAATCTTTATCAAATTTATTTATTTCAGTTTCCCATTGAAAACTTTTTAATGGTAAATACTGACTCATACTCCACCCATATTGATTATTAACATCAAAATACATTAAATATTGAAATTGTAATGAAGAATCAAAGTCGTTCATGTATTTATTATTTGCTTTTGAATAGCGTTTAGAAACTTGAGTTAAACCTCCTCTTACACCATTTTCGATAAATAATATCATGTCAATATCTGTTAAAAGTTCAAAATTTACATTGGTGTATTTGAGCATAGCATCCCAGGAAAACCCTGGCAAAGTAAAATAATGAAGTGGGTCTAAGTCATATGTTTCCATACAAAATTTTCTGAATTTTTCAAAGATATCTGTTAATAACATAATATCAGTTTTTAAATACAAGTCAGAATATTCACCTAAATTTTTGATGTGAAACTCATTCCAAATTTTTATAGCATGATTGTAATCTTCATCACTAATATGCGATTTGTTTAATTCATTATAAAAAAAATATTTTTCAGGTAATGATGAAATTAAAAATTTTTCATGATTATCTAAATAATCATAAGGGTAAATTCTTTTTTGCTAAGCAATGAATATTGATTTTCTGTTATGTTTTCAAATTGATCTTTTAAATTTGGAAAATCGCCTAAATTTTTTGCTAGACTATCTAAACTACTTCCCAAAAATTTAAATGAATCTATAAATCTAAATTTTATATCACTATTATCAATATATTTCGTGAAACTAATATATTTCTCTTTATTTATAGGAAGTAAATCTATTTTACCTGATATAACTGAGTTTAATTCCTTTATAATAAAATGTGAATCATAGCCGCTTAGGTTATGAAATACTACAGGAACATAGAAAGAATTTTTATAATTTATGTTGCAGTTTTGATGAGCAGCTCCTCGATATTCACCATTTAAATGATCATGATCCTTACATTTAATATTTTTTTCTTTAAATGGTTGATCACAAATAAAACAAATCTGAGCCTCTTCAAATTGGTAATTTTGTTCTTTAGTGAGAGCTTTCATTTTTACAGGTGATTTTAGATCTGTTTCTAATAGGTTAGCAATTTCCTTAAGTTCATTTAAAAACCAATTGATGCAATTTTCACCTCGTAAGAAACGGTATTTTGTATTCGTTATATATGTTGATTTTAAATAATATCCAATAGAAGATGGTTCATGTTCTTGAAAAATATTATTATTAATATTATTTGGATTATTTTTCTTTAAAATGCATTTAATATCCGCATATATAACGCACGGTAACATAATTTTATTTTTAAAGTTACTAAATTTTAGAATATTATTTTTTTCAGTTGGTAATGTAATTGCAGACTTATTAATTTTATTGCAATAAAATGAGTGATTATTTAATTTTTCATTTGTATCAAAATAATTAAGGCATCTTTCACAAAAATATTTTTTATGACCTTTTTTATTAATATCTTGCGAAAGTAATCTTGATAAATCTTTAATTAAAACGTAATGATATTTAATCTCTACATCATTATCATTAATATTTGATTCAGAATGACAGTTAATTTTTTGTTTCTGTTCATATATATTTTGTATTAATAATAAGTTAGCATGTATTTCACTTTTTCCTTTTGTTAAGTATAAGGGCACAACCTTATATTGATTTTTTTTGATTAATTCTAGTCCAAAAACATTTACACTAATTTTATTTAATTTTTCAAACTTGGAAATATCTTTAATTAATACGGGAAACTTAATTCCATTGAAATTAAGTATACCCTCATAGTTTGGATAACTTGATCTGCGGTCTGAATGATGTTGCGAAGGATAAAGTAACCCCATTATACTCCACGCAAAGCATGCATTATCAGAATTTTTAATATTTATGCAAGCATGTTTTTTTTTAATAGATTGGGGTAAATCTATATATGACGAACCTGCCACAAATGCAGTATATGAATTTATATTAACAACTAAATTTATTATTGATGATAAGGCCCAACCGCTGCCTTTTTCCTGAAAATCATCAAATTTAGTTAAAAGTTCAGCGATTGTTCTTCCACACCAATCATCACTTTGATCCCTGAGCACAACCGAATTTTCAGTACTTAAATATTTTAAATCATACACATTATCAATATCATTATTTAAATTTGGTAATACAAATTCGCCGCAAAATGTTAAATTTATTTTTAATGCATTATATGTCAATAATATTTCATTTACTTTACTAGTTATTATTTTTTTACACTTTTCCAGAAATATTTTCGGGTCTACATCATTAATGTTTGTTATTACCCCTGTTTGTATTCTATTTTGGAATGCTGATGTCAAATTTTTCCATTCCAATTCACTATTGTCTTTATTTAATAACTGAAATTTAATTTTAGTTTTATATGACTCTAAACTAGAGATCACTGTACTTATGCAAGATTTGGTTCCGATATTTGATAATTTATTATCGCGCAATAATTGATTTAAATATAGTAAGTCTTTCAATATTATCATTAAATTTTCTTTTAATTTTTTTTCACTCGCGTTCTTTTCATTTTTAAGAGAAAGCCGTGTATGCTTTCTTAAAATAATTTTTGATATGTCCGTCATTGTAAAAATTATTTTTATTTTAATACGCAACTTAACCGTCCAATAAAAATTTTAAAACTAATTTCAATTTTAACAATTTGTTTTTTAAATTTGTTGTTTTTTTAATTAAAATTATCAGTAAGTTTTAATTGTTTAACATGATAAAAAAAAAAAAAATTATATATCCTTTGTACTGGTTCTACTACCTGAAAATTAAAATATCTGAAAATTAAAATACCTGAAAATGAAAATATTTGTGAAAAAAAAAATAACTAATAATTATTTATATTTTACTTTATTTTTAATAAATATAACTAGTACACTCTTTGTACTGGTTCTACTACCTGAAAATAAAAATATCTGAAAATTAAAATACCTGAAAATGAAAATAATTGTGAAAAAAAATAGCTAATAATTATTTATATTTTACTTTATTTTATTGATTTTTTTTTTTGACAATATTATTGGTTGTCAGCCAATTTTTCTTGTGAGAAAATGTCTTCTCTTACCAATTTGCATTTGCCTTTTTGATGGCATATCATTACTATATCCGATTCTACGTTGATCTTGCTAATTTGTTCATCTGTTAAGAAGTCTTTCATAAATTCCGGTAGGAAAAATACCGTATTTTCGAATTCCAGCATCAGTCGCTGGCCGTACACGGTATTTTTCCTTTCAATTTTATTTACTTGGTAATATTTGTTCAATACTATGTCTCCCACTCTTAAGGCTCTCTTCATCACGTTCCGCCTTATGACCTTTTCATTGAAGGTATCTAAAATACCATCAATATTTTCTTCACTTCGTCTTCTTTTACGGTTGTTGCCGTTGTTGTTGTTGTTGTTGTAGTTGCTTTTGCTGTTGATTTTTCTGTTGTTGTTGTTGTAGTTGCTTTTGCTGTTGATTTTGCTGTTGTTGTTACTAGTTACCCTACTGCTACTGGTGCCAGTAATAGCATAATCAAATGCTGATGGTGGTAGCGGATCCAGGATGATTGAATCTATTATTTCTACTTCGCTGGTCATTTTGAATTATTTTAATTATTTTAATTAATTAATTATAAGTACTATTTCTTTAAAGTAGTTTATTAAACTGAATAATAATTTCAAACGACGGTCCTTTTTATTTCAAAAATTACATTTGCGTAGGCGTGGGTTCCATCAATACAAAATTGCAATTCTTCTAACAGTTAGGTCTGAAATTACTGATAAAGTTTTATATAAACTCTAAAACACACAAAACTAGCCTATACTTTTATTTTTTTATTCAAGAAGCAAAGCAAAGGAATTCCCTATTGTGACGTCATTCTCATTCTTTCATAATAACAAAATCTTGCTTTTATTTTTTATTCAAGAAAGAATCTCTGACCTCACTTTCACTGTTCGTACAACCAAAATCATGAAATTTTTATTTTCTTATTTTCTTATTCTCAAATCACACAAAAAAAATTCTTATCAAAACAATTAATAAACACACATTATTTTTTTACATTAAAAGCTCTCCAATTTAATTCATACCATAACAATATACACTATGAACATTTCTTATCACCACTATGAAAAATATTAAAACTAATGACTCATTTCCTGGTCTAGAATCGGCCTGGTCTAGAATCGGCCTAGTATACCTACTCGCAGCAATATTGACCACAAATTTCTGAATAGTCCCCTTGCAATCGTTTGTAATTGCAGGCAGTGTAAGAACTTTTTAGAACTTTTTTTAAGAAATTGTGAAGCTCTTTTTGAACAGGTGCTTGTCCATACGAATCAAAATATTCAATAAATCCATTTAAAGGTACAAAAATGCATATCCAATGTTTACCTGGTTTAGTATGAACATCAGTATTTACCACTACAAATCCAGGTTTTTCAAAATGCTTAGGAAGCTTGTCTAGGGGAAGAACTCCTTTGAAAAATTTTTGTGTTTGCTGATTACACGACAATACATGTTTTATTTCTAAAGTGTTCATTGTACTTATTAATCGGCTGATTCAAAAGAAATAATATCATAAATCTTAGTATTCTCTTTTAAATAATGTTTTAAAAATTGCATGCTGGAACGACCATTTGTTATAATAACATCAAATTTTTCCATAAATCCGCGAAGTTCTTTGTTTTCTTGCTCATTAAATACATTGCCGAATTTATAGTTTTTTGTGGTATTTGGCATAATTTCTTTTGTAGGAAATTTGTAGTTTGTTTCCTTGGTGATTATTTTGGAATTTCCTCTTATTCCAACACATGTAACATTCTTAACAAATATATAATCGGTATTATCAGTACAAAACGTCAAATCGACAATTGCACAAGTTTTTTTAGACATGTTTGTTGTGTAGTGTACAACACTTGATTAATTTTAAGTTTGTAAAAATTGTTCTATTTATACATTTGTGTAGACATTGCGATTTTTGTCTATTTGAACGTTGGAATCAAATTCTCCATAAATAAGTGCTGTTAATGTAGATGAAGTTGGTTTTGATAATCTTGCTTCGATTCTTATAGTTCCTTGATTAAGTAAACCTTGGCAAATTTCATTACCCGATGCATCTGGTGTTAAATCAAAAGCCAATAAAAAGAAACCATTTGCAAACATAGATTTTGTTATTTGATGTCCTCTATCGTTATGATAAATTCCTGTTCCAGAGAATAACGTATGATAAGCTCTTGTATTGCAATTATTATCATCAGAAAAACTTGTTTCTATGGCAGCGTTTGGTACTTGCACACCATTAACATAGAGCATGAATTGTGAAATATCAAAATGCTTAAAATTGTATGGATTTTTTGATCGTTTTCCCGAATACCCTGCATTTTCAGTCATGCAAAAAATAATCGTGTTTGGTAATTGGCCAATAAAAACATTATCTAGCGAAATTGACGAACTATTACTGGTGATAGTAAAATTTTTCACTTCCACTCTTTTATAATGATATTTAGCATTTGATTTTTCTAGAACGGCATTGTGAGCTAACAATACACTAGGATTTATTGTTACATGCCGCATAAATAATTTAGCCTCTACAATTTTAAATTGTGATTCATCAGAGTCATCCGCAAATAGAAAGAAATCTGGTTTTTCTAATGTAAAAAGAATTCGAATATCCACATTATTTATTAAATGAGTGGGTTGATTAAACATATCCACATGAAGTTTTCCCATAAGCTCAACAACGTTACTATTATGATATAGTTTTTGACGTTCCTTTGAACCATTATTGTCAGATCTAGCTATATTCGGCTTATCTAAAATCCATCCAGCACATTCTAAATGAGTAGTTGCAGCATCAGTTCCATAATTTAATAGAGATTCAATATAAGCTCTATAATGGTAATTTCCATCTGATGGAGTAATATTTTTACCATTAAGTTGTACGTTACATTGCTTAATCAGAGAATGCAAAATATTATTAACCACACTCGGTTGTTGAATTGTTTTCTGATCTGCACCTTTATCATCATGCCATGCTGTTCCATCTTTTTTCAAAATTTGAACTTTGAGTTTTATGTATGTTGAAGATAAATCCCTGTAGGTGTCGCCGTGACCCAACGAAACAAATTCTATTGTTGAAGGGTTATCCAGAGAAGCAATGGGATTGTATGACACCTCCTCAGATTTTAAAATATTGGTTTGTATTGGCGGAGTTGCAAATAAATCTAACTCTGATTTCATGCATTCATTCATTTTTTTCTTGTTTTTTTAATTAAAAATATCTGTTTGGTGAATTTTTCTGCGTTTGCTCTTGGCTTTACGTTTCTTTTTATTTGAATGAGTTAATCTCGTTGCATGAGTTCTTTTTATAGTCCTTCTTCTTATACCTCTTCCATACATTTCATTCAATTTGTTTACAGCTCGGCGTCTTAAATTTTTTATTGCTTGTTTACTTCTATCTTGTAATACTTCTTTTGGATTTGCTCCAGCAGCAATATCAGATAAAGCATTAATTCCAGTATCTAAAGTCTCTTGTTTTACCAAATTTAAGCCAGATGATATGAGTGGTTTTAAATATTTAAACAACCCTCCAAAAAAACTTCCAAGTCCACGACCTCTTTGATATTGCACACTAGACTGCACTAACGGGAAAATATCATCAATACCTCTACCTGCTTGAATTAAATAATACTTATAATACGAACGATTCATCGTATAAGAATAAACGACATGAACCTGCCCACTTATTTATATCTTTTGAAATGCAATACAATTTTTGTAGGTATGTTACTTCTGGAGAAATTTATATTATATCCAAATTTATCGCAAATTAAAACTGAAATACTATCAAAGTTATCTTTGTCTATACTGCAATATTGAACTTTTTCAAATTGTATTATTGTATCCGCAAAGGGATTGATTGTGTTTATAGTTTTCATACATCTTGTCATTGTATCGCCGATATATTGCGGTTCTATTATATCGGTATAAACAAACAGCATATCAGTTTTTGTTTCCGGAGACGTCAACAACGTATTTGCTATTATATGATAAACCTCAATAATTTTAGTTTTATATTTTTTAAGTTCTTTTTGTACAACGAGTGCTTGTTGAAAACATGTTTTTAATAAAAAGTTTACTGTATACCCAGTACCAGCCAGTATTCGTATTTCGACCACAGGTCTTTCACTGCATAGTTTTATGTACTCTGTATGAGTGGTATCTATTTTAAATTTGTTATCCAAAACATAGTTAGCATCATTTGAAATAAAATTGTAGATTTCCCATATCAATTGTTGCTCCACTTGCTTTCTGGTGTATCCTGGATTTGGAAAAATATTTTGAAACAGCGTGGGTAATAAAAGCGTTTTCCAATCACATCGTAGTTCATTTTTATTATAAGGAATATAGGTTTTTCCAATACCGATGGAATTTTTTTCTGCTGTTCCAATAAATATTACAGCAGCTTTTTCGTAAACTTCTCCAAATATATTTGGAATAAAATTGTTCAAAAAAATTTCAGAAATTCCCACTTTCCAATTACTCTTGTTTAACTCAAAATGCTTTGGGAATTTATTTGTAAATTTTGATAAAGCATTTTCTGGAAAATATTTTATTGAGGCATCACTTAATAAAGTTATATAAAAATCCTCTTCCTGATTTATTTGAATCGTGTCCATGGTTGGGTTGATGAACCAGAATCAGATTTTACTTTTGTCTTCTTACGTACAGGAAAATTCAGTTTTAGCTGTTTATCGTCTGCTTTTGTAGATGATCGAAGTACTCGTTTTGAAGGTTTTTTAGGGCTTTCAATAGGAACACTTATAATATCTCCTGAATCAGTTTCAAACATGCGCACATTTGGTGTATGAATAGATTTGCGTGGCTTTAAACGTGCACCTTCCGAAGCTACTGATAGTGCTCTATCTCGGTGAAATGATTCGTCTTTTATAGTATCGTCAAAGACATCATCCTCGTCTAAACTCCAATTTTCAATTGGTTCAAATTCAAAAAGCTCCTCTTCAGGTAAAAATGTAGTTTGTAAACCAATATTTTTTTGGTATATATCATCTGTTTGAACACTAGTACTTTTTTGTGCCGGTTTTACGCGTGTTTGCGTGCCTTTAGACTCTAATAATATTGGCTTATTTAATGAGTTAACAGGCGTCTTTGACATTCCTTGGCGTTTTTTGTTACTAAATTTCATCAAGTTTTGACGATATAAATACCATTTCTGATTATCATTTAACTTTTTGTTAAATAGAATAGCTTTTATATTTCTATCAATATCCGAGAGTTCATTATCGTTTATGATATTTTCTTTAAGTTTATTGTATAAGTCTGGTTGAATAACAATCATCCGTTGCAATGTGTTGTTCATTTTGTATATTTTGAAATTAGTTTTCCTAGTAAACCCGATAGAACTGTACCGATTAACATTGGTAAAAAACCACCTTTTTGTATAATGAATTTACGTTTAACGTTTATAGATTTTTTTGGGCAAGCTAAATATCGAAGTTGATTTTTATATTTTCTTATTCCCAATAATTTGTTTTTGGAAAGTTTTGTATTTCCATTAAGAATGTTCAATGAAATT